ATAATATACTTTGTTGAGAAAAAATGTTTTCATCCTTAGTTAACAACTTCATTTTAACTTAAAACAAAATGAAATCATTTTACTAAAATGTGCCATTTCTAATCAAGCAGTAACATTCGGCAATAAGTCAATGTAAAAATAATAAACAGCAAAAATCAACACTGTTATTTAACTATTAGAAAACAAACATTTGTGTTCGAAATACTGAATTATAGTATCGATAGATCCTAGATAAAATATTTAAATCATAGTTTACATTATGAATTGACATTAGGTAGACAACGATTGAAAATCAGCAAGTTATGCACAGTTGTTTTTCAATGGTTGTCTAAGGTCAGTTCGTGATCTAAACTATGAGAAACAATAATCTCCACAAATCACTGACACTGACAATTTTCTCAGTGACAACTAATGTTGAGAGGTTATTTCCATGGTCATGGTGTGAAATCATGACCAGTGAAGTTCAATCATGTTGGATTTGAAACAGTTACCAGCCGATGGCATTGGAATATGGCTGCACAATATTGAGAATCGACTGGAGTTAGAAATACAAACCATTGTTTGTTGAGTCAGTGATCAGAAAATTGAGAGCTCATAACACAACTTGGTGGCTCAGTCTAGAACCTCGATGGGACCGTGGATCCCCAATACCGGGGAGCCTCACAATATGATGAGGCAGCCGTCAGGTCGTTCCCTGTTTTCAGTAGTAGTTTAACTAATTTAGATCTTGATGTAAACTATGGAGCTTAACCTTCTTTAAAACCCGCTTACAATGAAACGTAGGTAATAAACCGTAAATGGTAAGAAATATTCATCTTGGATTTAGCTATTAATCACTAACTAATATGATTTAATTAAATTAAATTTTATTGGTCAGGGTCTAAACAACTGCCTTTTATTACTGAGAATTAACCTGAAATGTGCACACTTCTAATGGTATTCTAATCAATGTCATTTTCAAAATATATTTAAACAAAGGAAACAAATGATTTCATTCATTCTGAAGAAGTACACAATACATGGAAAACGTTTTTCCGTGAGAAGAAAACTCACGGATAGATTTTCTTTATAGTTTTTTACATCACAAGCTGACTTTAGTTAGAAGACCGTTAAAAACTAAGACGCATTGGAAGGCTATTTTAACCCAGTATAGGACTCATCAGCAGTGTATATCTATAACATTCTCTACTTGAATGACTGAATTTCTTCATTATGCATAAAACTATAATATTTGATGAGGAAGTTATTACCCTTAGGTATCTACTATCGAAGATCAATACAACTTTAATTGATTTTTCATTTCAACGACAATTCTTTAAATGCCAACTTTACAAATATGATGCATTAAACTCTTATTGAAGCATTTCAACACATTACAAGCCAAGTTATTAAAATAACAATAGTAAGTATGCATGTAAACTGATGTATAATACGTAAAGTATGTGGTGTACTTTGTCGGTCAAGTGTTTAATACGGTCACGTGACATACATCAAATTATTAATAAAAGAAAAGAAAAAAAATTCAAAGAAACTCATAAACAGTTTTTTTCTGTTTAGTTTTATCTGCTCCAAAATGTCTTCATTAGTTTAGTTACTACGGTTCAATAATATAATTATATTTAAAGTTATTTTAAAACATATTGCTTTAGGTCTAGGGTTTGTGTATGTTAAATAATATTATGATCATGACACATAGATTTTTTTAAAAATTATCAGGATGGGGGTTTGTGAAGATTGTAGTAATTTGATGGTTGAATTAATGAGTCGATTTAAGTGAGACCACAACGGAGAACTTGGAAGCACTCGACGGCCGTTTCGTCCTAGTATGAATTCAATCATTAAATTGCTACAATCTCCAAAAACCCCCATTCTGATAATAATCATCATGTGCTCACTAGTGTCTAGCTTCAAAATATATTTCATGGAGTTCTAATGAGAGGCTATGACCAGTGAAGTTCAACCGTGCCTGTTGTCAGGCAGTTACTCATTGAACACAATGGTTGACGGTTGCTCAGTAACGTGAATTGATTGAAGTTAGATATTAACACCGTTAGAAGTTGGCTCAGTGGTCTAGCGGTTAAATGTTCGCGCGCGAGATCGAAGGTCCTGGGTTCGAATATCACGTGTACGATCCTGGACGCGCACTGCTGAGGAGTCTCGTACTCGGACGAAACGACAGTCCAGCGCTCCCAGGTTTTCAGTGCTGAATTCAACCATTATGCTATAAATATTTGATTTCAATAAATATAACTAGGCGAATCACTGTACACCTAACTAATTTCACTACCATGTATACTAATCACATATTGTAATAACAAAATAATAGACTGATTAAAATCTTGGAATAAACTTTTTGGTACAGGATAATAATAATAATAATAATAATAGTGATAATAAAGACTTCATTCAACATTATATGTTTAGTACACTATGGAATGCCAGGCAACACCAAGGTCAGGACTTTCAATACAAACGTCAAGACAATTCTGTCGTATGGAGTTTGAAGTTTGAGAACTACTACAATCATCATTAAAAATGGTACAGGCGTTCATCAACGCTTGTCTACACAAGATAATCCAGACCCATTGGGATGATATTATCATCAATAGCCTACTATGACAGGGAATAAATCGGCTATCACCTGATGAGGAAATTAGGAAAAGACACTGAAGGCCGATAGGATATACAACAGGGAAATTATCATGCTATATCACGAATCAAGACCTAACTTGGAATGCTGAAAGCGAAAGGAAAAGTAGAAGAGTGAGGAACACATTGTTCATGGAATTGGGGGCAGATATGTAGAGAATACTGGTGGGAAGCCAACACTTTATCACGAGGGATAACAGGCATAAGTAAGTAAGTAAGTAAGTAAGTAAGTAAGTAAGTAAGTAAGTAAGTAAGTAAGTAAGTAAGTAAGTAAGTAAGTAAGTAAGTAAGTAAGTAAGTAAGTAAGTAAGTAAGTAAGTAAGTAAGTAAGTAAGTAAGTAAGTAAGTAAGTAAGTAAGTAAGTAAGTAAGTAAGTAAGTAAGTAAGTAAGTAAGTAAGTAAGTAAGTAAGTAAGTAAGTAAGTAAGTAAGTAAGTAAGTAAGTAAGTAAGTAAGTAAGTAAGTAAGTAAGTAAGTAAGTAAGTAAGTAAGTAAGTAGTAAGTAAGTAAGTAAGTAAGTAAGTAAGTAAGTAAGTAAGTAAGTAAGTAAGTAAGTAAGTAAGTAAGTAAGTAAGTAAGTAAGTAAGTAAGTAAGTAAGTAAGTAAGTAAGTAAGTAAGTAAGTAAGTAAGTAAGTAAGTAAGTAAGTAAGTAAGTAAGTAAGTAAGTAAGTAAGTAAGTAAGTAAGTAAGTAAGTAAGTAAGTAAGTAAGTAAGTAAGTAAGTAAGTAAGTAAGTAAGTAAGTAAGTAAGTAAGTAAGTAAGTAAGTAAGTAAGTAAGTAAGTAAGTAAGTAAGTAAGTAAGTAAGTAAGTAAGTAAGTAAGTAAGTAAGTAAGTAAGTAAGTAAGTAAGTAAGTAAGTAAGTAAGTAAGTAAGTAAGTAAGTAAGTAAGTAAGTAAGTAAGTAAGTAAGTAAGTAAGTAAGTAAGTAAGTAAGTAAGTAAGTAAGTAAGTAAGTAAGTAAGTAAGTAAGTAAGTAAGTAAGTAAGTAAGTAAGTAAGTAAGTAAGTAAGTAAGTAAGTAAGTAAGTAAGTAAGTAAGTAAGTAAGTAAGTAAGTAAGTAAGTAAGTAAGTAAGTAAGTAAGTAAGTAAGTAAGTAAGTAAGTAAGTAAGTAAGTAAGTAAGTAAGTAAGTAAGTAAGTAAGTAAGTAAGTAAGTAAGTAAGTAAGTAAGTAAGTAAGTAAGTAAGTAAGTAAGTAAGTAAGTAAGTAAGTAAGTAAGTAAGTAAGTAAGTAAGTAAGTAAGTAAGATCCTTGATTTTCATCAGTCCTTCAGCAAATTTGGATTTCTGATGCAAATCTCTGCAAATTCGAAACTAAATACTATTTCTTATTGCAAATACTTAATATTATTTCACTAAACTAATAAAATTTTTTGAAGTATGGATATCAAACCGTTTCTTGATTAATTCTATTTCTACAGATAATTGATTTGTTAAACTGAGAATAGTTCATCAGATATTTATATTTAAATATATTATTGGCATATTTTATTAACAATACTGGTTGATGGATATTTTATATAGAAGGCGAAACATTATGTGTCTATAAACTTAAATTTTGTCCAACCGGTGTAGTATGTCAAGTAACTCAGCTAAAAGCAATCTGACTCTGAAGGTCATTGTTTTGTTTTTCAAGAAAGAATCGGAAAAAAGTGGTATATTCATGCGCGTGTAAAGTTCTTTTTCTATTAAAATGTAAACAAAATTAGTAATATAAGTAGGAATAAATACATTCTATGTACTACAATATACAAATGTTATTCAGTATTATGAGAGTATTTCATTGATATTTTACTCATATTTTATTCATAGGTGTATTTATGCTTACTTATATAGTGTCTCAGGAGTTAACCACTAATTATTTTCATGGTTTAGACCCCAATCCGATCATAGTCGAACCACCATTGAAAACTATGAAGAATTGGATAGGTTTGCAATTCTGAGATAGGAATCCTCATCGGTACACATCTACCAACAGACTATACGAAATCAAACGAAGGACCTCCAATCACACATGAATATTTAACCTTGTAGCGGTAAATAAATCCCCAAAATAAATAGCACTAAGTTTTCGACATTGGATGCTGACCATATGTTTTAGTGGACTCACCTAGCTGAAGGCGCTCGGTCAGGCATCCGCACCAGATCACGTGTGGTAACGCCGTGCTCAACATCAACCGCAATCGCTAGCCAGATTAGATCAGAGAATTCCGATATATTGGTCATCGCCAAATATACTCTTCCGATCTCCTCGACTCTGTCTTTTGATTTCTCTGGGCGGGAACGAAATATATTACAAGGTGTTACTGGTAGAAGCGTTGTCAAACACTGAATACCTGTGACATCATCATTGGTGAAACCGACGTGATCTGGTACACCTAATTGCAACTGTGAGTCTGTTCCTTTTTGGGATTTTTATATATCATTGCCTTATTTTTTTTAACTTTTTTAAACATTGTGATTTTTTTTCGTGTTTTTTCCTGGATGTATATATTTTCCCCTCGTTCATTATCGTACTTCATACTTCATCATGACTGAACAGACACCTAAAGTACTCAAGCTTAAGACTTTGTCCCCGCCTTCGTTTCAACTGATGCCTTTCTGGCCCGACAACATCGAAGCCTGGTTTTGCTACGCAGAAGCCGACTTCTCCGAGCACGGCGTGATCGACACACGTGCACAATTCCTCGCAGTAGTCAAGGCACTACCGCGCGAATTCAACAGGTACGTAACACCTAGTATGTTTACTAGTGATGTTTCCGATCCTTACGAAATCTTAAAACGCTCGATTCTTAAACGAGGAGACCTAACCGATCGACAAAGGTTAGATCAACTCTTCAACAATATCGACCTGCAACACGGTTCTGCGACGGACATGTTGCAACGGATGAGAGAGGTAATAGGCCCAAGAACTTTCGACGAAGGTCTATTCAAACAACTCTTCTTATCAAAACCTCCCCAACAGGTGCAAGCAGTTCTGGTCTCGTTCCAGAACAATGCCTTAGACGAGCTAGCTGCATCTGCCGACCGCATATCAGAAATTACGAAACCTTCTACTACCGAGGTATTTTCAGTCAAAGAAAAACCTAAAACGACTCAGAATGATATAACCGACTTATGTCACACACTCACGCGTTATCTTAGTCTTCGTACCGACCGTAAGAGATCGCGCACACCACGTAGAAGCATTTCTTGTAAGCGATCTGTCTCTAGACCACGAGAGACAGATAACCCCGACTGGTGCTGGTATCATAACCAGTATGGAAAGCTTTCCAGAAATTGCAGAAAACCCTGCAATTTTCCCAACACGAAACCGACTGATTCGAAAAGCAATTCGGGAAACTTCCAAGCCGGCACGCGTTAACGGCAACCGTAGCCGGCGAACATAGCCGTCTGTTATTCGTCACAGATGTGACAACGAGAGTTCGCTACCTCGTCGACACTGGCGCAGAAGTTAGCGTTCTCCCAGCAAATCCTAACGACCGGCTTCAGGAATCGGCTTTTAACTTACAGGCGGCAAACGGAAAACCGATCGCTACGTATGGCAAAAGGTACGTTTACCTTAACGTGGGTTTACGCAAACCCATTCACTGGATTTTCGTTATTGCAGATGTTTCTATGCCAATCATTGGTATGGACCTTCTACAACACCACAATCTGATCATCGACACGCGCAAACTGAGGCTAGTAGACGGAAACACTAATTTATCCGTTTGCGTAACTTCTTTTACTGGTTGTAGAGTATCCCCAGTCACAGTTAAACATATGATAGACCCACTCTATCAACCACTACTCGATAAGTACCCTGGGATACAACAAACTCAACCGAAACTACCGTGTGTAACCAGCAATGTTACACATCACATCACGACTACAGGACCACCTGTATTCTCTAAAGCACGACGACTAGCTCCTGAAAAGCTAAGGTTAGCGAAAAACGAATTCGATCACATGATGGACTTAGGAATCATACGACCGTCAAGTAGCCCATATGCATCTCCGTTGCACATGGTCCCTAAAAAGGACAGCAACGATTGGCGTCCAACTGGTGACTATCGGCGATTGAACGCGAAAACCATTCCCGATCTTTACCCGTTGCCTCACATTCACGATTTGACAGCTACCTTGAAAGGTACAACTGTCTTTTCGAAAATCGACTTGGTTAAAGCGTATAACCAAATCCCTATGGCTACTGACGACATACCGAAAACGGCTATCATAACTCCCTTCGGACTCTATGAATTTTTGCGAATGCCTTTCGGTCTAAGGAATGCTGCTCAAACATTCCAAAGATTCATAGACGACGTTTTTCGAGGTCTCAACTTCGTACACGCGTATGTTGACGACTGTCTAATCGCAAGTCCGGACAGAGAAACACATCTCAAGCATCTGGATCTTGTTTTCGAACGACTTCAAAAACATGGCATAACTGTAAACGTTCAGAAATGCCAATTCGGAACCGACTCGTTAGACTTCCTAGGACACACTATCGATGCTCAAGGCATTCGACCTCTTAGGACCAAAGTGGCGGCCATTCTGGATTACCCAGAACCGACCACCGTCAAGCAATTATGCACGTTTAACGGCCTGGTAAGTTTCTATAGACGTTTCATACCAAAATGCGCATTACTTATGAAACCTCTGACCGACCAACTTCGTGGAAATGCGAAATCCATTAATTTGGACGACAACGCACGAAAAGCATTCTCCACAGTTAAGGAACTGATTGCTAAAGCAACAATGCTCGCACATCAGGACACCCGAGCACCCATTAGCATCGCAGTAGACGCATCCGACTCAGCAATCGGAGGAGTCTTACAACAATGGGTTAACAACTCCTGGCAACCCTTGGCATTTTTCTCTAGAAGGTTGCTAGACACCGAATCGAGGTACAGCACATTCGGTAGGGAACTCCTAGCTATGCACTGTGCTGTACAGCATTTCCAACACTACATCGAAGGTCGTGAATTCACTCTTTTCACGGACCATAAACCGCTCACTTTCTCGTTAAGCTCTCCTTCTGACAAGTACTCTCCCCGTGAGTCTCGACAACTGGACTACATTTCGCAGTTTACTTCAGATATCCAACACATCTCTGGAGCAAACAATGTAGTTGCAGACGCCTTGTCTCGCATGACTTCCTTGAACAGTTTCCAAGGAGTCGACCTTCTTAAACTCGCCGAGCTTCAAAAAGAAGACACTGATCTTCAGCACGAGTTATCGTCCACAACACTTAAACTACGCATCAAACAGATGGGAACAGGTAAGGAAACCTTACTTTGTGACACATCTACAGGTAGGGATCGCCCAATCGTGCCGAAACATTATCGACGCAATGTCTTCAACACATTGCACAAACTTTCGCATCCAGGTGTTCGTGCAACCATCAAGCTTATAGCAGAAAGGTTTTGCTGGCCTGGAATGAATAAAGACGTGAGGGAGTGGGCATGCTCCTGTGTAAGCTGCCAAAAATCTAAGGTTATCAGACACAATAAATGTCCCTTAGGCTCGTTTAAAACTCCCGATGCTCGTTTCGACCATGTTCATCTGGATTTGGTAGGACCTTTACCAGATTCAAATGGATACTCTTATCTCTTAACCTGCGTAGACCGTTTCACTCGATGGCCAGAAGCAGTACCTATCAAGGACATCACTGCTGAAACAGTGGCCCGCACCTTCGTCGAACGATGGGTAGCAAACTTCGGTTGCCCTTCAACCATCACTACAGACCGCGGACGTCAGTTTGAATCCGATCTTTTCCGTCGCCTGACCACACTTTTAGGAATCACTCGATTCCGAACGACCGCCTACCATCCACAAGCAAACGGGTTGGTAGAACGTTTTCACCGACAACTGAAAGCTTCGCTATCAGCTGCAAACGTTTCACAGTGGACCGACGCTCTTCCACTCGTCTTACTAGGTATCCGCAATGCAGTGAAAGCTGACATTGGATACACTGCGGCTCAACTCGTTTATGGAACGACACTTCGACTTCCAGGAGAATTCGTGGATCCTTCATCCTCTTCAATGAACATGGATCTAACCTCCTACACGAACAGGCTTACAAACGCAATGCGTTCAGTTAAACCTGCTTCCACTCGACCTCAATCAACTGATGTTTTCGTTCAACCTGACTTACGATATAGTACACACGTTTTCGTTCGTCGAGACTCGCATCGACGACCCTTCGAATCAGCATACGAAGGACCCTTCAAAGTTCTTCAACGTGAATCTAAGTACTATATAGTCGATAAGAACGGAACCAACGATAGCATCAGCATCGATCGCTTAAAAGCAGCGTATTTAGAAGGAAATCCTATCTACGTGGATTTTCCTTCGGTACAATCGAACGACACGACTCCGACACTCATAATACCTCATCCGACAACCAACACACACGATGATACTTCGACAGTATCCAAAAATAAACTTAAAACGACGCGTTCTGGAAGAAGGGTGAGATTTCCAGAACATTTAAACGACTATTGCACGTAAGCCACTTCTCGACATTTTATATTATTTTTTAAAAAAAAAAACAATTTTAATATGCTTATATATTTTTATTTCTATTTAAAAACAAAACAAAACAAAAAACAATTTTTTTAACGCTATTACGTGTTCATGAGTTTATTTTCCATTTTTTTCTCCGCCGACATTGTGTTTTCACGCACATACGAGTGTATTTCGACATGCACTTACATTTTCTTTTTTCTTTTCCAGGACGGCTGGAAAAGAACGATGACGTTTATGAGGATCCGAAATTTTCATTGTACATTTTCTTTTTTTACTATGTTGTACCTCCGTCCCATATAGTAAGGAAAGACGACCAGACGCTGCTAAATTTAGTAAGCTATCAGAAGAGTGTTTACCAACGACAAACTCGTTGGGTTTAAACTTCTGGCTGGCCACGTCTTAGGGTCGTCACTGCCCTACTAGGGGGGGAGTGATCTGTAGCGGTAAATAAATCCCCAAAATAAATAGCACTAAGTTTTCGACATTGGATGCTGACCATATGTTTTAGTGGACTCACCTAGCTGAAGGCGCTCGGTCAGGCATCCGCACCAGATCACGTGTGGTAACGCCGTGCTCAACATCAACCGCAATCGCTAGCCAGATTAGATCAGAGAATTCCGATATATTGGTCATCGCCAAATATACTCTTCCGATCTCCTCGACTCTGTCTTTTGATTTCTCTGGGCGGGAACGAAATATATTAGAAGGTGTTACTGGTAGAAGCGTTGTCAAACACTGAATACCTGTGACATCAACAACCTCTACACCACTAACCAACTATTCAATGGTGTACCTGTCTAACCTCGATCAATCAATCAATCAATCAATCAATCAATCAATCAATCAATCAATCAATCCGTGATACTATACGATCATCTCTCATTGTCTGAGAACGATAACAGTCTCTCACAGGATTATTATTTTTTTATCTATGGTTTAAGTGTATAACAAAACGCTAGCTAGGCGGCCTGCTTGAATATCTGGGCTACCTGTTTCTGCCATCTGATTATTTCAACAAGTTTTCAGTTTTTATTTGTTTTAATTTATAATTATGTCCATTAATCGCATAACCTATTCAGGCGCTTTTATGAAAAGCCTACGACCTTTCGCTGCACAGGTTACAAAAATTACTTTAAAAGACATCGTGGTGGTTGGCAATATGCGTTAAAGAGAATAAATATTAATTGTATGTCGATTCCCGAGCTGCTAAATTCTAACTGTCGATCACTAATCAACAAAGTGGACTATCTGCGATTCCTACCAAGTATGTATGTATCGTAATTGTGGTGTCATCACAATTCAAGAATCTTGGTTGAATGATTTACAGGATGACTGCCTAGTATCACTACGTGATTTTAAAATTTATCGTCAGGATCGATCAAGCAATAAAAAGAGGTATGGTGGTGGTGTAGCTACGTTTGTAAACATAAACTGGTGTCGATCTTCGTTTGTGTGTTTTAAGTTTTCAAATGACTTTATCGACTGTCTAACTCTAAGATGTCCAAAACATCTGAATAAATACAAATATGTTTATGTTACCAATAACTATGTGACTCCAGATTGCACATCATCTGCACTATCTGTTTTCGCTGATGAATTCACTGAGTTCGCTGTTACTGCATTCAGTGATTCACTTTCAGTTGTATGTGGTGATTTCAATTCATGTGACTGTAGCTTCCTTACGTCACTAGGTCACCAAAACGTAGTAGATTTTCCTACTCGTTTGGATGCTCATTTAGACTTTGTTTTGATTAATGATGTGGGTATATATGCGACTCGTAAACGTGCCCTATTGTCTAGCTCGGATCACTGTATAATTCGTGTTCTACCTAAAGTATATGGAAAGCATGGGAAGAGTACACTCTTACATCAAACCAAGAAAGTGAAATATGGGAATTACTCAGAAGAAAATATCCGAAATCTGAAAAACATGTTTCATACGACTAACTGGGAATTATTTACAGATGACTCACTGGAAATCACTACTGATGTTATCACTTGTTACCTTAAATTCTGTTTTGATATTTGTTGTCCCACTGAAACCATTTTTGTAAGTTTTGATCGACTTACATCTACACAACTAAAACGACTACGGAGGATGAAAGAAAGAA